TGGAAGGGGAAGAGGAGGAAGAAGTGGAGGTGGATGAGGAAGCTGAAGCCGAGCCCCACCATGATGAAAACGCCCTTATGCAATCAAGACGACCAGGGGAGGGCAGGCCAACGCTGAAAGAGGAAGTCTGGCGTCCAATCTCCACCACAGAGAAGAACCGCATTGTCGAAGTGGTCAAGGCCTTAATGGAGACCCAGACCTCCGCTGAACCTTCACTTACAGTCCTGGCCTACCTCGAGGAACCAGTACTTCATGGGTGTGGAGAAGCTTCAGCGGATGAACCGGACTTGGAGGTCTCAATGGGTGAGCTTCGCCCAGCGCTCATCCGATAGCTATTGGCGACACCCAGACAGCACCTGCCCCAGGCAATGGAAGTGGTGTTGGGGGTGCCGGGCAGGACGCACAGAGATCCTGCAACCGTGCAGGCTGTTGCCAGACAGTTGCAGGCCGAGGTGGGCGGCGCCAATGATCCAGTGCTGGACCAGCTGCTGCGGCACTGGTCCGACTCAGCAGACATAGGAGTCGTCGAGGAACTCCTCAAAAGGGCAGAAGTAAGGAAGCGGTGCAAAAGGCTTTGGCCAGACTACGTAGCACCAACAAACCCGCCAAGCAAGAGGGAGCAGACAGAGGCCAGCAGAGAACCTTGGAAAGTGTGTGGAGGGAGATGCTCCTCCCCCCTGGGGACGGCATGGACTGGACCCAGGAACATGAGGACCCTGATACCTTCGGGGTCCGCGCTCAGTTGCGCGTCCTTCAAGGGGGCGCGGTGCCTAGAAGCAAGAAGAGGAAGACAGAAGAGCCTGCCAAGACGGTGGAGAAACCGAAGCCGACACAGGTGGACCACGAGGCAGCCACCCAACGATACATCCCCCCACGGCAGCATAGTGCATATGGGCGGCCCAGCAGCATCATGGACTACGATGTGACCACCCAAGACGAGCAAGAAACGGAGCGCTGGGCCAGACAACAGTGGCAGGAGGAGTACGGCAGGCTAGAACAAGAAGAACAGGCAGAAGCAGAATGGCTCGCAGAGAGGCAAGAAGAAATAGAAGTGGAGGCGGTCTGGGAATCCTATGAGAGGGCCAATGACCAGAACATGGGGCGAGCGACCCACCTCGACACCGAGAGCGAGCAAGATGAGTGGGGCGACAGCGACTGAGATCGCACCACGAGGTGGCCTGAGGGCGAAGTAGCACACTGGAAGGCCGCATAACTCAGGGCTCCTTGTTGGTTTGACATCGTTCCCCCTAAGGTATGCTCTAATGAAGCTTGGGCCTTCCAGAGTCGTAGGCGCTGTAGCAGGGGCCTTCGTGAGCGGGTGAATTGGCCGGGTTTTCTCTTATGTGCTGGTTCAGGGAGCTACAGTAAGAGTGTAATTTGTTGTGCCTTGCACCTGCTCCAAATAACCAGTCCGCGTTGGCTGCCGTAAGCGCTTTTGGACCAGGGGCGCGCTGCAAGGTCCCTCCGTGTTTCTGTTTAGGGTCGTCTTTTGCAATACGGGGGTTCCTCGTGTCCTTTATCAATACCGTAACTGCGAGTGCTGCGGACGGTAGCCCACCACAAGCGCTTTTGGACCATGGGCGCACTGCAAGGTCCACCCTTGATATCGTTGAGGTCGAGGAGGGCTCTCTAGGTGGCTCTGTTCCTTTTGGAAGATATGCTGTTGTCATTTCTTTAGGCAATAGACCTCAACACAATTTGGTAGCGTGATGGTAGGATACTCGCGGGCAAATAGTTACGCTGTTGGTGACACAGTTAACGGCGCAATGGTGGGGGCAACCTTGGGACGCTCGACCGAGTCCACTGGGGCGGATGTCAAAAAATCACCTTGAAAGAAGAAACTCAAGAACGAAAGCGGCCCAGCGGGGTGGGGCAGCCCAAAAATCATTACGCTGTTGTTGCCAACTTTACCCTCAAGAGTTATGTGTCCCAAGGTTGTGAGGGTAGGCGTACTAAGCTCGAAGCTAGAGTCGCCTAGCGGCCGCGGCTTCAGCAGTGCAAAGACCAGGAGAGTTGGAGTGGATATTGCTACTATATTTGGCAGACTAGGGCTCCTGGGGTGGCCTGTACCTTGCAGTGCTGAAACGGCAAGCCGCGCGGCGCAAAGACTGGACTTCCTTGCCACCTGGAGCTGTTTGCACGCCGGGTTCTTGTGGTTTAGACTTACGGTGCGACTGGGCTACTGTGTTCCTGCATGACACAAGGTGTGGCAGCACTCACGTCCTGAAGTTGCCAGATAGAGCAATCGCAGGGCAGTATGTGGTGAGAAGTCGTGTAGGGGTCCCTGCTTGCATAAACGTTGGCTACACAAGGTAGTGCGGCGAGCAGAGGTTTCACGCCGGGGGTAGTAGCGATGGCCAGCCTAAACCTGGACGCAAGGGAGTATCTTTACGAACTGATGTAGGTGATCGGGGCTTTGTAGCTTAGACTGTTTTTCTTCGTGTCCGGGTATAGGATGATCATCGGGGCCTGCCACGGTGAGCGACCACAGAGACCGTGCCTGCTTGGGGCCTTGCCCCAGCCCTGCCCCTAGGGGTGGGGTAGAGCAGTGAGGAGGAGGAGAGAGAGAGAGAGAGTATGACGGGAATGATTGTGAGCCCAGACGTTCCGACATGTAGTAGGCCAACTGGGTCGTGCTGCGCGGTAGTCTCACAGCACCCTAGCAGGATCGAGAAAGGCAGATATGGGCCCCTATAACCTATCCCATTAGTTTGTGCGCCTTCGCTCCATGATCCTGGGGAGTACCGACCTGCACCAGGACACACGCGGGCGGGGGGCTGGGCCCCCGTGGGGCTGTAGAGCCTCCTAGCGCCTGGAGAAGAAGAAGAAGAGGAAGAGAGAGAGAGAGAGAGAGAGAGCGCGCGGGGCTCGGGCAGTGCCCTGGCCCGCCCATGGGGGCGGGCATCGCAAGAAGAAGAAGAAGAGAGAGAGAGATGGAACTGCTGTTTTTGGTCAACCAATGGGATTGGATAACGATGATCTCGATGCCGGGGAGAAAGAGAGTGGCCTGCACTCAGGCTTCAGTATGTTTCGCTTAAAATTACGCATGCCATTCCAGCAGAAAAGCCGGGAAATCAGCAAAGTGTGTCTGCTTATATCTCTTGAAATTGAACTGCAGTGGCTCACGTTCCGACAGTTTTCGGTCGAGGCTGCTGACACACAATGAATTGAGGCAACACGGGCATGCAACGAATCTGGGAATGAACAACTTCAAGGTCTTGCGGAATGCAACTTGAATGTATTTGCTTTCGGTCTCTGAGCCAAGCTCTTTGACATGTCTCTGGCTTCCCAAGACATGACTGACATGATTGTGGCTGCCAGACTTGTAAAAGATAGGTCACAAGCTGCACACACTACTAGGTCATTGGTGCCAACGCCACGCTTTTTAGATCAGCCACATTGTCACTGCACACACCGCAGAAATGCGCCCTTGCTCGCAGGAGACTTCCGCAATGCACTCCAGCCCCATGCAAAAGCCTTTGGCTGAATCAGGCAAACATGTTACTTTATTATCGTGTAACGGATGTGGACATGAGCGCACGCATATACATAATATATATATATATATACATATGGTCCTGCGCTCTGCGTTCCCAGCCCCCCTCCCAATGATGTCCCCCCCCCCACCCCGCCCTGTGGTCCTGTGGTCTGGGCTTCGTAAGTTAAATTAAAGTTTAGAGAGGGTTGCACTGTTGTAGTGAATTCAGAACCTATTACCCCCACCCCCCCCTGTGGCTTGTGGTTTGGGTCTTGTTCTATACATTAGGCTCATGGAGAGAATATGATGCATTTATAGTGTTTATAGGTTCATGGTTCTTCAGAAGGCTTATATCTATGACTGTTGATCTGTTGATACATCT